ATTTGAAACATGTTTTATGGGTTTTTTTTGGGGGGGGGGGGGCAGAGCTTTGTGACGTCATGTTTCAGGGGCGGGGTCTGACTTCTTGTGACGCCGTGTGACGAGGGCGGGAGGGGGTCAAAAATCGTCAAAGATCGCGTGACGTCATTTATGGACGGCCCCTTTTCATGAAGCGGACAATATTCTCAACGGCCTCAAAGCGAACGGGCAAAAAAAGAGGGGGAAATTCCACATTCTCCACCGGGCGCAAAGTCTGTCCACGTTGGCCTCACACAGTCAATCGGCGCGCCTACTTTATCGACCGCCCGACATGATTGTGGACCGAGTTGGTTGCCTCGACTTTGATTTTCATTCGCAGACCCGCAAACGAATCTTTGCTTCCCATTCCCCATGGCTGGAGCGCGCTAATTTAAAACCAAGAGCGGACAGCGATGATCTACATGGTGACAGATGTTGCATCGGGGGAGCGGTGGCTGAGTGGTTAGCACGCTGCCCTAGGAACCCGGCGAGCGATGTCTGTCTCAATCATATTTAAGGCTGAGTCGACCAAGTTGAGACCCAGGACAGCTCTCTGTCACACACAGACACATCAATGCTATTTGCGGCTCTCCATAATTAATGCATGTGCATATACGCATCATCATCACGCGTGGCTACGCAGCGCTGATAATGCACGTGTACAGTATATTTTTGTTGAACGTCTTTCGCACCGTACGTAGCCAACCGTGCTGATCGGAGGTGCAGAATCACATGATGCCGCACAGCCAATTTGTAACTTCACTAATAAAGATTGTGTTTTTTTAGGGTTCGATCGATCTCTATTACGAATCATATTGGTCGCGAAAGCCGAGGTGTTAAACTGTAACTCCACTGTTGTTGGATGAAGATATCACAACGCCGGATCGGTAGTGGCGAGCTGGGCGGCTGAGTTCGGATTGTTTGACCATACTTCACAGCGCTGGTCGGGTGGAGGGTGCGGGTACGGTTTGGATATCAGGTCCCTGCAGGGTGGGCTGGTAGGACAAGTCTCTGCGCTGTCTATTGCTGATTTTACACCCAACAGCACGAGATTTCACTTCGTTAAAGTATTGAAAGGGGACGGACGGACGGACACATTAATCTATTGCAGGCTGGTACACTCACTTTACAACTTCGTTCCTACCAGTATCATTCGCCACTGACGTTGGCCGTGGCCGCGGAATCGACAGCCCCGAGTCGCGTAGCGCAACCGCTCCAACCCCTGCACCAACCGCTCCACCCACGCGTACCCAGTGCGCGCGTGAACACTGCCGTATACGTTACAGCATACATCACAGTATACGCATGGACGTGTGCGCTAGAAAAGAATTCAACGTATTTGGAACGCTATGTAACAAAACGTGCGCACATGCGGTATATACAGTACACAATTGCAAACTATTGACAAGTGGCTGGGAATAAATTGGTGGCAATTTGCTTCGTGCGTATTTCCATTGTCCCGAGCGCGTTTTGCGTTTTCGGGAGAGGCGAACGAAAGATCCAGGAACTAATCTCACATTTAAACGGACGCTTGGCTGGCCGATGAAGACGAATGTTATGCAACGTTCGGATTTTACGCAACAATGACAACGGCTTCACCGTCATGCCCAACCCCCGCATGTATACACGCATGCTGAACTTCTTTCGCATCGTACGTAACCGATCGTGGCACGTTCTGTTAGCGAGCACCTATCATAGCCGGCAACGGAAGCACGGTCTTTGTCGCGCCCATGTTTACACAACTCATTTAAACTCCGAGTTGACAAGTAGGACGGTCCTCGGGACCCGTTCAGATATAACTCGCCACTGACGTTAGCCGTGGTCGGGAATTGAACTCGAAAGGGACGGATCCGTGCATAGCGCGTGGAGCGCCAACCATTAACGCCACCGCTCCCGGTCGCCACAAAGACAAAAGACCACCACCGTGTCGAGTCGCACCAAATGAAGGCCGGCACGGCACACGAGGGGGTGGGGTGGCCAACACCACGCCCGGCCGCCTTTGTCTTCCGAGTGGCGATGTTCAAACACCGCACCAGGTACACACACACACATACACACAATTCATCCATACACAAAACGTAAACCCACGCACCATTACGAACTCTTCCTTAGCGAAACTTACAATTTAAATTAGCGTTTGTCCCCGTGTTTCGCACATCATCTGTATATCTGTTCTTTTACAGCTTTCTCTTAATGTAACGATATCCGCCAGCATCTGCAGGGATGAGCCTTTAATTCTGCCCGTAAAAAACTTCGTGTTGGTTAAGCGGCAGCTAGCTTTGCCCGCTTTCTATCGGCTGCACCGTCACACTCTTTTTAAAAAAAACAACACGCATGTAACGATCTTGATTTGAAGATTTCGTGACTGCAGGAATCCATACACTTTGGTTCTGCTGACATAGCAGTTCTCCTGGTGTGTCTGTTCCACCTGATGACGGTCACTTGTGTTGCGATCGAAACGTCGTGATTTCTTGTTATTTTATACCTACGTGACTTTACCGAAAGAACCAGCATACATGTAACGTTCGACAATTTTAGTGATGAAAATTCCGATTTAATATTTTGACTGAGCGTCCTAGGGCCAGGTTCAGATACACAAATGAACGTTGTACAAACACTGGCCAGACATTTTGCCGTATAGCCACATTCGAACATTTGAATGTTTCTGATGTGAACAAAACTTTGTTCCCAGGTTGGCTTTTTGCACCACTTCAATAAAATGTATAGATAAAAAAAAGAATGATTTTTCTATTTTTTTTACCTCGCGTTATTTAGAGAACAAATTTTAGTGGACTTTCGGCAAATTGGTGGTGATTTTTTTTTTACTTATGAGCAAAGAATTTACTATAACGGTGCCAAATGTCCGATATATTATTGGCCTGCAGCAATATCGATATAATCGCGGACACGAAAGTCAACACATGCGCGTGTTTGCTGATTGGAAGAATGGCGATTTTCGGCCACATGAGTTCGATTCCGGGCCACGGCTACCCTTGACCTGCACAGTTCACCATACTAACCCCACTCTGACCAGCGTGGTGAAATATGGTCAAACGAAGCCCCGTGGCCAACCCCCTGGGTGACCTTCTTGGCTTAATTATCCTGCACGGTTAAGATAACGGACGCTACCTAAATATCACATCCAGCAGTGGATTGATCAAGGTCTGCAAAATATTCCAGTTATTATTAATTAGCTTGAAATTAGTGAGCGAAGTTGTATTAATACATGCGTATACGTATACACAGCCAGTGAGATTTTATTTTTAAATGAAAATCGTGCTCCTGTACAAATATTAAAGGAGCACTACCTTCATTTGCATTCATGTGGCTTTTGCGACTGAGATGAAAGAGTCTAACGTTTCGGGTGAATTGCCTTATTCAGGCAATAATGCTACCAAGTAAAGTCGTCACAGGCTATGTGAAACGCGCTCAAATAAGCGATGATGGTGGTGATGGTGGTGGTGTTGATAATAATGTATGATGATGTAAATGATAATGATGATTGTGGTGGTGGTGGTGGTAATCTTGGTGATCACGATGATGATGAAAAGTATGGTGATAACGGTGTTGATGATGGGATAATTATTAATATCTCAGAGCAGAGCAATGATGTGCAGAGCATGGAGTGTAGTGTATGGAGGTTTACCAAGTGACCAGCTGCGCTATATGTTATCTTTCCCTGCAAACGGCCAGTCGACCAAAACGTCGAGATATTTATTTTCTCCAGGTGACAATGCAACATCAAAAACCCATGTTCACATCCATATTTTAGTGAACCTATATCGATTTTCACTTAGACCAGTAAGAATCCCCCTAGATATAAAATTAAAGTCAATCCGTTTTATTTTGTGTGAATACACACATGCATCCATACATACATTACACACGCACACACACGTGCGCGCGCGCGAGAGAGAGAGAGATGAATATGAACCACAAAATAAGATTCTGAAACGAACATTTGAAGATGAATTCCGATGCTGGACCAAGTCGACACAAAGAACGCCACTCCAAGGATGTCTCCGAGTGACGATCTTCGTTTAACTGATGCACCGCTCCGCTACATCGTGACAATTTCGCTTACGGCACATTTGGACTAACTTGGGGGGAGGGGGGGGGCAGGGAAGCGGTAGTTAAGGATCAGGAGGTTTGGGGTGGAAGTGTTCTCGGAATACCAAAACAAGCATCACATCTCGAGTTCACACACACACACATATATATACATATTATACAAATAAACACGGTGTATGCGTTGAGGAATGGGTATCGACAACGTAACATTGGAGTTGTCTCTGCCACGAGTCGGATGTCCAAGTGGAAGAGAATGCCAACGGATCAGACGATGGCGTGAGACTCTTCGTTGTCTCTCTACTGCGCAGCAGTTGAGGGATCTGGTAGATGATGGACATCGCTGGCGAGGTGGTTATGGTGACGATGATGGTGATGATAGTGGCGATGGTGATGTGCATTGACGGCGTTGTACATGATCCGATCGTGCTGTTATTGATCTGTATAATCACCGTTTCGTGTGTGTGTGTGTGTCCGTGTTCGTTTTGAGCAAACGATGTTGCCACTTACAGGGATCTCGGGAGGGCGATTTATTCTCAAAGTCAACGACGATGAATGACCACCCAAAACGGAAGGGGGGTGTCTGGAGGGTTCAGGGGGGGGGGGGTCGAGGAGCGGGGAGTGGAATCCCCGAATCACCACTTGTGACTGTTGAACGGCCGTAGGCAGTGGACCCACGTGGAGGGACAAAACAACGTAATAACGACGACGACTACGATGAGGAGGATTGTGTGTGGTCCGGCCTTGCTAGGTTCATCAGTCACGCTCTGCCTGCTGCTGCTGCTGCCCGGTGCAATGGTCAGCACGCCGCACCGGCTATCCAGAAGTCCTCGGTTCGCGATCCATCTCCGGGCGCGGCATTTGAAGCGACGCTGCAAGTTGATCAACTCCACCCCTCCTCACCCCCCCCCCCACCCCCTCGCTCTTGCCCTCGCCTCCACGTCCACCCAGCGGCATCAAATTGCGTCAACGCCCGCACGCCTGTGAAGGCGACCGTCCCGTCACGCTGCGTCGGCGTGAAACGTCGCGCGGGTAAACTCCGAGAGGTCCGCCCCGTGCGTCCGTCCGACGCGCAACAAACAAACACGCACACTCTCTGCTGGGGTGGGGGGTGGGTGGGGGGGGGGGCTCTTCGGTTGGAGCTGCCTCGAGTGACGGAGGCTCCCGTCTCCGGCAACACCGCCACCAACCCACCCTGGTGGCCAACTCCGCGGCCCGTTCGGAATGCAATGAGCATCACCCCCTCGTGATTGCGTTTCCACTGCTGCTTAGGCAGCTGAGAGGAAGGGTGGGGGGGGGTGGCGGGGTGACAGCAGCGGGGGTGTAGAGGAGGAGGAGGAGGAGGTTGTAGAGTCTCGTTATGACGAGTGCAGGATGGTGGCTCGCTGATAGAGGCCCTGTGAGCAGTAGTAGGTGGCTTCGTTGGCGCTCAGCGGTGAGACGGGATCCTTGGCGTGCGTCCCCTCGACAGAGCTGCACGCGGCCAACGCTCCGAACGCCGAGTAGCGAGGGTTATCGATGTGCTCATGCTGATGGTGCTGTCGCTGCTGCTGATGATGATGCTGCTGATGATGATGATGATGCTGTTGATGATGCTGCTGCTGCTCAGCCGCAGACATGAGGCTGTGGATGGAGAATGGGTGGGTGAAGTTGCAGCGCGGGTCGATTTTGAGCGCGTCTTGGTTTTGCAGGGCGGGGTGATGATGGTTGTGATGGTGGTGGTGGTGATTGTGGTTGTGGTGGTGACCGTGGTGGTTGTGATGGCCGTGATGCGCTGCATCCTGCTGCTGCTGCTGCTGCAACTGCTGGTGGTGGTGGTGGTGATGATTGGACCTGTCGCCTCCATTCATGCACAGCTGCTGTTCCGACAAAGCAGACGCGAGCGCGTTGCGGTAAGTCGCTGACGACGACGCCGACGACGCCGACGACGCCGCCGACGACTGCGTCGATCCTTTGACGTCCGCGCGCCTCGCCACGGTCACGGCCAAGGCACCTCCCTCCTCCTCCTCCTGCTCCTCCTGCTCCTCCTGCCCCTCCCGTTCCCGGCGCTCATCCCTCGCCGCGTGCTGCCTCCTCTCGCCCTTCGTCGCGGCCGCAGCGCCGGCGAGACCGTTGCCCGGGGCTTTCTTGTGGCACTTGAACCGCTTCTGCCGCCGCAGGTAGCAGCCGTTCTCGAACATGTTCCCCGAGTCCGGGTGGAGGGCCCAGAAGGAGCCCTTGCCCGGCTTGTCGGGCGAGCGCGGCACCTTGACGAAGCAGTCGTTGAAGGAGAGCGAGTGGCGGATGGAGTTCTGCCAGCGCTGCTGGTTCTGCCGGTAGAAGGGGAACAGGTCGGTGATCCACTGGTAGATCTCGCACAGCGTGAGCATCTTGCCGCTCGACTGCTGGATGGCCATGGTGATGAGCGAGATGTACGAGTACGGGGGCTTGGCGTGCGCGTAGCTGCTCCTGTAAGGCGGCTTGGATTCGCGGGAGGCCCGAATTGCCAGAGCGCCGCCGCCGCCGCCGCCGAGGCCGCCGAGGCCACCGCCGTGGAGGCCGTAGGGCCCCCCGTTCTTGATGGCCGAGTAGTGGCCGGCCTGCAGCCCTCCCAACGAGCCGCCGGGAGGAGAGCCCTGCACCCCCAAGCCGAGGGGGCTGGGGCTTCTGAGACTCTGCGGGGGACCGCCCGTCGTGAAGACGCCGGGACCCCCGTGCGAGACTCCGGATGGACCCCCGCCGTAGCAGGGCGGAGGGGTGACCAGTCCAGCGGCGGTGTTCATGGCCATGTAGGAGTTGAAGGACGTCATGGCCCCCATGCTTCCGATGGTTGGGTAGGCCTGTGAGACACGTTGAAACTATTAAATAAAAACAAGTAACACAAATATATTGCTTTTACCAGGTAAGGGCCGACTGAGCTACGTAGGTCTTTTGCAGAAGCTCAACAGAGTGGCTTCTCGTCACGTGGAATTTTAAAGCGGCCAGATCGCTGAAACGCACTGTGATTTCTAAATGTGGAGGGGGGGGGGGAGGTGAAGCGGAGGAAGCGGAGACAAATCCACGCGACCACGGGGAGAAAGACACGCAAACTCCAAATATACAGCAGGCATCAGGGTCGGTATCGAACCGACGACCTCCTGTATACCTGGCGAGGTAGTTAACATGTCGCCACCATGCAAACTCCAAATATACAGCAGGCATCAGGGTCGGTGTGGAACCGACGACCTCATGTATACCAGGCGAGGTAGTTAACATCTCGCCATCATGAAAACTCCAAATTCACAGCAGGCATCAGGGTCGGTATCGAACCGACGACCTCCTGTATACCAGGCGAGGTAGTTAACATCTCGCCACCATGAAAACTCCAAATATACAGCAGGCATCAGGGTCGGTATCGAACCGACGACCTCATGTATACCAGGCGAGGTAGTTAACATCTCGCCATCATGAAAACTCCAAATTCACAGCAGGCATCAGGGTCGGTATCGAACCGACGACCTCCTGTATACCAGGCGAGGTAGTTAACATCTCGCCACCATGCAAACTCCAAATTCACAGCAGGCATCAGGGTCGGAATCGAACCGACGACCTCTTGTATACCAGGCGAGGTAGTTAACATCTCGCCACCATGCAAACTCCAAATTCACAGCAGTCATCAGGGTCGGAATCGAACCGACGACCTCCTGTATACCAGGCGAGGTAGTTAACATCTCGCCACCATGCAAACTCCAAATACACAGCAGGCATCAGGGTCGGTATCGAACCGACGACCTCCTGTATACCAGGCGAGGTAGTTAACATCTCGCCAACGCGGTGTCCCCAATCATACTACCTTAAACAAAACAAACTGTGCCTCGAGTTTTCTGGCTGGCTGCTGGCCGGGCACTTCTCCACACCAACACTGACTCTGCGGTTAGTGGCTGCTGCGGGCCGTTTCCCCTGAAACTGTCTGGGTAACTGGCTACGCCGTGATTTCCCCTGTCACAAATGGACATGGGTTGAACTGAAACGGCGAAAGAAGACGTTTGGCAGACATGAAATACCAATAATTATTGGTATTTCATTGTTTTGCTTAAAAATTAAGTACTGTCCAAACCCAGTCATAGATGTATTCATAGGTCCAGTCAATGATGTATTTTAGTCATTTCTGGTTTAAATTCAGATCCCTTCCATTTATAACTCACTAATCCTCCGCCATTCCCAAGTCAAGGGTCGTGTATACTTACCCAGCCAGCATATCTTGAAAACTGGAGCCAATCAACAATTTTAAGCATCATTTTCATTCCCAGTGACCCAGAATGAGTAAAGTTGGACAACATTTATGTCGGAAGAATTTTTGCTGTAGACCGGTGAAATTATAGATAGTGACACCAAAGAAGTGGGAGTCATGAATACAGAAGACTGACGACCGCTCATTTAAAATTGATCGAACTTAATTAGTGCTCCGATAAATGTAATTATTTCTTTGAAAAAGAAAAATCACAATCCACAAAAACGGTCACTGCTGCATCGCGCACTTTCAGATGGGCTGCTTCTGCGGCCATCTGGAACGTTCTTCCTTCCGATATAAGGAAGCCACTGGAACTATACATTTGAAAATCATCTACATTTAAAACTCATTTCTTTAGAACTTATTTTAACTTATTGTCCTTCCCCCGCACCTCCGATTAGCACGGTTGGCTACGTACGGTGCAAAAGAAATTCAACATACATACATCTTGGCATTTATTTATTTTTCGCAAAAAAAGCGGAATATTTGTCAGCTGTCTTCTCATTTTCCGTTGCAGAGCAACAGCGGCCTCTCTGCCCGTCACAAAAAGAATCCGCAGACAGTCTCAATCCACTGCTGAATCAACGCCTTCATCCGGGTTGTTTGACCATACTTTACCACCGCTGATCGTCGAGGGATGGTGAATGATAGAGGACTCGGGTTGCTCTACTCGCCACTGATGTTAGCCGTGGTCGGGAATGAATCTTAAGGTCGGGCATGTTGATAGCGCAGTGTGCTAATCACCGCACCACCGCTCTCAGCTGGTTAGCATCATTAGTATTAAGAATGATTATCATCGGAAATGTTTTTTTTTTTAAAGAAGCTCCCGCCTAAGTTAGTGAGCTAGTCCGCAAATAATTAACAGTTCTATGATACGCCCGTGTGCTCAATGTTACATTTTAACGCAATTACCCAAGCAAGCGAGGCGTGAGCTGATTGATCTAACTTCACAAGATGTGACAAATCATCTTGGGAAAAAAAGTCTTAAAATCCTCCACATACGCATTACATAGCAATTACCGTGGGACAAAAATATGTACATATATAAGTTGGTTATCTGAGTATACGTGTGTGTGTATATATATAGGTATGTCTCAAATGTGTCGTGTAGCGGTAGTGTAGTGGTTAGCACTACGAACTCGGTGAACCGGGTTCAATTCCGGCTCAAGGCCAAGACCAATCACGATGATCTGAACCGGTCCTGGGTCTCGCATAGGTGGACTCAGACTCAAATGAGTAAATTGTGCCGTGTGTAAACATCGCCGCTAGGGAGACAAAGACGGCCGGGCGTATTGTTGGCCACCCAATCTCTTGTGAGCCGTGCCGGCATTCATAAGTGCTCGTTAACAGCACTTGCCCCAACAGTTTGTTAAGGCTATACTGAGGTTCTTTGTCTCTGTAGGCATACGTGAGTTTCCGTGCATGTCAATGTAATTGTACAGTCTGTATATATATGTGTGTGTGTTCACTAACAGCACTTGTCCCATTATTCTGTGAGGCTATATTTGGGGATATGCTTTGCTCTTTCGGTAAAATCACGTTGAAGGGAAACAATCAAATAATAAAATATATATAAAACAATAAAAAAATTCTCACGACGTTTCGACCATAACACAAACGGTCGTCATCAGGTGTAAAAAAAAAACCAACGGCAAGAAACATTTAAAAGAAGTGTTTCCCTTCAACGTGACTTTTACCGAAAGAGCTAAGAATATGAATTACTGCAGTCACGAAAGCTTAAATCAAAATTTAAATTTGGGGATCTTTATTTTGTATGTTTATGAGTATGGGTGGCGAGTAATGTCAGGGCTTTGTAACGGCAATACAAATGTAAACCTTGCAAGTGGTATTCATTATCACGCTGTCCATAAATAAAACAATTATCAATGTAATGTGTAAGGAGCGTTAGTAATATAACTGACGTATAATAATAATACTGCAATTCTGGCAAAATATCGCCCGATTATGATGGATGTAAATTACCAGCGACACGCGGTACTCAAATAGTGAATGTTGTGGGTTTACTCTCCAACACGCCGGTGGGCTGAAGCAGTAACGAATTGGCACGTTTTGTTCACGTGGCAAACCTTTCTAATCGGCTGCATCGTGTGGTGGCGGCTTTAACGACGCATTAATATTTACGCGATCTGACCCCGCAAAAAAAAAACGTTATTATCACTTTATAATAATATTCATAATGACATTTTATAACGCGTAGATTCTTTTTTGGGTGAAGCCAACGTAACGATCTGGCTAGAATTCGTGTCGTGAGACCCTTCGCCACCCGACCAAGCCAAACGAATGAAAATGTCCACGTGAGCAGCAAGGGATCAACGTGACGGGTGTTACCATTGTTCAGCTCACTCACCAGCTCGCTCACCAGCTCACGAGCTGGTGAGTGAGCTGGTGAGCGAGCCAGTGAGTGAGCTGGTGAGCGAGCCAGTGAGTGAGTGAGCTGGTGAGCGAGCGAGCCAGTGAATGAGCTGGTGAGCGAGCGAGCGAGCGAGCTGGGGAGTGAGCTGCTGAGTGAGCGAGTAAGCTGGTGAGTGAGCGAGTGAGCTGCTGAGTGAGCAAGTGAGCTGGTGAGTGAGCGAGTAAGCTGGTGAGTGAACGAGTAAGCTGCTGAGTGAGCGAGTGAGCTGGTGAGTGAGCGAGTGAGCTGCTGAGTGAGCGAGTAAGCTGGTGAGTGAGCGAGTGAGCTGCTGAGTGAGCGAGTAAGCTGGTGAGTGAGCTGCTGAGTGAGCGAGTAAGCTGGTGAGTGAGCGAGTGAGCTGCTGAGTGAGCGAGTGAGCTGGTGAGTGAGCGAGTAAGCTGGTGAGTGAGCGAGTGAGCTGCTGAGTGAGCGAGTAAGCTGGTGAGTGAGCGAGTGAGCTGGTGAGTGAGCAAGTGAGCTGCTGAGTGAGCTGCTGAGTGAGCGAGTAAGCTGGTGAGTGAGCGAGTGAGCTGCTGAGTGAGCGAGTAAGCTGGTGAGTGAGCGAGTGAGCTGGTGAGTGAGCAAGTGAGCTGCTGAGTGAGCTGCTGAGTGAGCGAGTAAGCTGGTGAGTGAGCGAGTGAGCTGCTGAGTGAGCGAGTAAGCTGGTGAGTGAGCGAGTGAGCTGGTGAGTGAGCAAGTGAGCTGCTGAGTGAGCTGCTGAGTGAGCGAGTAAGCTGGTGAGTGAGCGAGTGAGCTGCTGAGTAAGCGAGTGAGCTGGTGAGTGAGCGAGTAAGCTGGTGAGTGAGCGAGTGAGCTGCTGAGTGAGCGAGTAAGCTGGTGAGTGAGTGAGCTGGTGAGTGAGCAAGTGAGCTGCTGAGTGAGCTGGTGAGTGAGCGAGTGAGCTGGTGAGTGAGTAAGTGAGCTGCTGAGTGAGCGAGTGAGCTAATGAGTGAGCGAGTGAGCTGCTGATTAAGCGAGTGAGCTGGTGAGTGAGCGAGTGAGCTGCTGAGTGAGCTGCTGAGTGAGTTGAAGGGTACATTCTCACAACCAAATCAAGTGGCAGTACAAGACACGTATGGATGTGTGCATATATGTATGTTAAACTTCTTTCGCACCGTACGTAGCCAACCGTGCTAATCGGTGGTGCGGGTAAGATA